CGGTGGGGGTGGGGAAAAAAGACAGGTTTCCATTGGGGGAAAGGAGATGGAGGCGCCGAGGCGGTTCTTCAAGGGTCGGGGGAGTTCAGAGGGTTCCAGGCTCTTGCCGACGGCCCCACCTGCTTCTCTAATGCCCCGCCCCGGGCCCAATTGGTCCTCTTAACTCGCCGCCACCTGGGATGCCCCTTTGCCACGGAGGCACACTTCGGAATCCCGGAGAGGAGGGCAAAGAGCTCCCCAAAATGTACCCGGAGGAAAACGCCCCCACGCCGGCTCCTCTCGGTGCGGGCCGCCCTGTCTTTACCGCTCTCTTTCCTTCCCGGACCCTCCCTATCCACGAGCCCTCACCGGTTCTTAGCCCGCCTCCTTTTCTCCGGTTGCGAACTGCCCAGTGTGGCCAGCGTTGCGGAGAGGAGTGCTTGCCGGGAGAAGTCGGCAGGCCACCGTCCCAAGCAGTCTCCGCAAGGCAGTGTCCTGGAGACGCAGACCTGGGGCAGCTGCCTCTCCTTCCTAGTCTGTGAGCTCAGGAAGAGCCGCCAGCTGGGGCTCCCCGCCCTAGACCCGCCTGGCGATCCCAAATGCCGGTCTTGCCCACTGGCTGAACCTTTGACAGGTGTCCTAGCCGTCAGTTACCCCCGAAACTGGGCATGCCTAGGTTGTACATCTGGGCCCCCCAAGCACATCCTCAACCCCTGGAAGGTTCTGTTCGGCGCCCTGCCACCTACACGCTTGGCGATGCCCTAGAGGGGATCCCCTCTGGATCCCTCCCGCCCCACCCACTCCTTTCTCCTACGCCACGGCCAATCCGACCGCCCCACCCAGTGCCTGCGCCGGGGCTGGAAGTCCCTAGTTACCTGCAGCTGGGCGGACGCTGGGTGCCGAAGCAGGCAGGAGGTGGGGGCGTGCGCCCGGCCAACCGGTTCGGGACACAGCGGCCGCTGGCAACAGCGGCGCCATCATCACGACCAGCTGCTTCCCTGCACTGGAACCACAGACGACTGGGGCCATCCTGCCTCTGACCACAAACTTCTTAGGCAGCGCGTGGAGACAAAGGTGCCGTGCGTCCCAGCGGCAGCGGGAGCGCGGTGACACCGGCTCGGAGCCCGCAGGTGCAGGCAGCTCTGGGAGGCCTCTCCGCGCCGCTCACGGTGCTCCGCCCCGACCCGGCCCCTAGGCTGGGCACACTCGGTCCCGACGCTGCGTGAGCGGGTGCAGGACCGGGGTCGGGACGATCCCCGCAGGGCCGCCGGCCGCGCGCGCAGCTCCAAACCGGCGCGGCCGCCGCGCCCCGCCTTATATCCGGCCCCGCGCGCACCCGGCCGGCGGCGGCGCGGCTCGCGGCCCAGCCACCGGTTGCTATAGCGATGTCGTCCCCCCCCCCCCCACATTTTGCTGACAGAAATTGGCTAAGGGGCCGCGGCTCTCAGTACACCCTCTCCCGCCCGAGACTATGAATGGACATCAGCGTTGTCAGTCACCCACACAGCCGGAGCCTGGGCCTTCGCCGGTTCTTTCTTTCATCCTTAAACCACACTTCATTCTGGATAAGTTTAGAACAGCGCTGGGGTGAGGGAGCCCAGAAAAGTCAGTCTCCATGGCCCTACTGCTGCAACCTTTGCCTCTGGGAAGGGGCGGGTTGTGAAGAAACTCCAAGGGGAAAAAAAAAATCCCAGCAAATCGTTCTTTCGAGTTATTTCAGTTTTGCCAAGGAGGGCTTTTTCTCTCTTCCCAAACAGCCATGCTTATTACTTAGGGAATCTCCCCCCCCCCTCACAGTACGTGAACCCTTTCTCCAGTTTTTAGGACCTAGATACGAGTAGGAAGCTGTCTGTTGCACATAGGTACTAATGAGACTTTGCCTCCACTTGGTCCAGGCCAACTATGCGGCAGCCAGCCAAAATGCTGGATCGAGGCGGCAGTGACAAGGGGTTGGGCTTGTCCTTGAGAGCACTAGTCCCCAGCCTAGGTCAAAGTCTTAGTTTGCATCACAGTCCTGAGCGGAAGAGGGGCAGGGCACAGAACGACCCTTCCAGTCTCTGGAGCCTCGGAGCAATTTTCTGACCTGCACCCCCAACCCCGTCCCCAAGTATAGACTCAAGGCTGGAGTCAGGCGGGCCTGTGCCAGTCAGGGGGTCTCCGGAGAGGCCGCTGGGTTCTTTAACCTGCCTGGGTGGGGGCGGCTTCTGCGCTACTGCTTGGCGCTCCCCGACTTTCATCTCACTATGTCCCTCTCCAACCCCTGCGCGCCCCAGGGGGGCTCGGACACTGGTTGGGCATCCCTGGTGCGCTGCGCCCCCACGGAGCGGCCGGGAACCGGAGAACTGAAACCCAACATCTGTGCGTACAATGCGCTCTCCCAAGGCCCACAGCTGCAGGAACAAGGGGAAGAAAAGAAGGCGCGGGGGAGCAGATCCTGTCACAGGCAGATGACAGTCTGAGGAGGGCTCTTTAGTTCCCCTTTTTCTGGAAACCCCGGCGCCCCCCTCCTGTCCCTTCTCTTGCCGCCTCCCCATTGTTCCCCTGCACTCCGGACAGCTGGAGACGGCCGCACCACCCGATGCCCCTCCCGCCCGCCGCACACCCGTTGCCCGCGGAGTCCGCCTCGGGCCCCTCGGGGCATACTCCACAACCCCCACCCTAGGCCTGGCGGGGTGAGGCTGATACTGCCTAGTTCCCATCCACCCCAGTGATGCCCCAGACCCGCCCGGCAGAGACGACAGAGCCAATCCAGGTCAGGGCTCCCAGTAAGGGGCTGTCCAGAACCGCTGGCCCAATGTTATGGAGCACCTGCTTTTTTCTGCAGCGTCCTAAAAACTAGGCTTCCTCTGGCCGCAGGCTTAAGTTCTACTTTTATTTTTGTATCTACAGGGGCTGGAGGGACAGCTCCAGGGCCTGAGGTGGCCGTGCATCTGCCTACTAGTGCACCCCACCTCCGCCCCATACAGTAGGTGAGGAATGGTCAATCACTTGTGCCCCTACACCAGAGGATAGTCCCTGCAGACTCCCCTGCAAATCGGTTCCAGCGTGGTGACCCTCCCCAGGGCCCTACACCAGGCTCACAGGAGAAAGCCTCTCTGCTGTGGCTTCCCTCTGCTGCCCTAGGCTCATTCCTTACACTTGGTACCCGAGGCCTGGCTCTGCAGCCTGCTGGGCAAAGGCCTGTACCGACAAGGACCCGAATGGTTGGTGGCTTCTGTTCCACCCTGCCATCATACTCAGGGCTTGCCCACTTGGGTGCCTGTCGTTCCCAGGCAGCCTCCAAAGTGACTCCCGGTTAAGCCTTGGACTGAGAACCAGAGAGGAAGTCAAGGGGGTGTCACCCTGGTCGAGCGCGGAGGCCCTGGGAGCTCTGGCGGGAAGAGTAGGAAGCCTGCTGGGGAAAGGACGTGGAGCTGGAGCAAGGCCGGGAGGAGGGGACCTGCAGCCCTCAGCCTCGCTGGCAACCGGCCTCTCCATAGCAACGCCCTATGCGTGAGCGCTGTTCCTCCTCCTCCCCTTCCTCCCCCCACCTCCCTTCCCTTCCCCCTCCTCTCTCTCTCTCTCTCTCTCTCTCTCTCTCTCTCTCTCTCTCTCTCTCTCTCTCTCTCGTTCTCTTTCTACTCTTTCCTGCCTATCCTCCTTTTCCCTCCTTCCCTGTCGTCCCCCACCAGGGCTTGGAGAATGGATCACAGGACCCTGGGATGGGGGCACCAGTATCCATTCCACGATGGGAGGCTCGGCCTCCCAGATATTTTGCGGTATCTTTAGGGTCAGGGGATCCAGTGTCCAGCACCAATGCGAGGATGTACCCACCCCCCCCGCGCCCCGTACCTAGCTAGCTGCCCAGGTCGGTGTGCTGATGCAGTCACAGCGCCTTAGGGACGTTGGGGGCCGGGGGACGAACAGGGGTCTGGCAGGTGCGCCTGGATCCAGGCCCTGCCTGGGGCAGCAACAGCACCCGGCGCCCAGAGATCTGGGAGGGCCCGCGGGGGCGCGCTGGAGGGGATAGGAGTGCGCACAGCCTCTAGGAGTTCCCGGCCCCGGCGGCGGCTGCACCACTTCAGCGGGAGGCGCGATCTGAGGACCGCTACGCGCCTAAGGGGACCCCAAAGGTGGCAGGGGCTGGGCACGCCACCCTTTTGACATGCCTGTCTTGCTCTTCTCACCCTACATGGTCGGGAGCCACCAGCCAGGTAAGTATGGGATCTGTGCAGCCCCTCAGGTCCAGGCGGTGTCCCGGGCAGCCTGAGAGGGCCAGGGCCCAGGCAGATGGGGTGTAGAACAGGGCACCGGCTCAGGGCCAGGCAGCCCATACAGCTTGACTTTCTACGAGCACCACAGGACGAGAAAATCAGTGAGCACAGACATTTGATCTACTTTAGGTAGTTTCCCAGTGTCTCAAAGGGTCTTCCACTCGCCAAGTCTGAGCCCCATGCTCGATCCGACTCCAACAGCTGACCTGCCTTTCCAGTGTTCTGAGGAAGGACGGATAATATTTAGTAAGTTGCATTTTGGTCACTTCAAGAGGAAGATGGCCTTAAAGGCGCCCTGCAGTTTTGTTTTGTTTGTTTACCTAGAAAAGTCAGTTTTCACACGGGTGTCCTGGGGTACCTCTGGCTGCGGATGCCTGGGGGAGCCTGGCCCTGCAGTGGAGAGCCAGCAGACCCACAGTCTTGCTGGAGAGGACCCAGGATGCTGGTCCATTCTCAAAGCCAGGCACATCTGCTGTCCAGGGGATTCGGAAAGAAAGCTTTTCTACTCCAGGCACCGACCCTTTGAGCCTAGAAACTGAGATACTAACCCAGTGGGTTCCTGGCTCCTTTCCTTTAAAACTCCTTTCTCACTGCCAGGGCAGGGAAAGAGTGGAAATTCTTGAAAGTCTTTTATAAAACTTTCAACAATCATGACTCAGCTACCCCCAAGAAAGATGGTATTATTTTTTTTTAAATCATGAGGGTTTAGACTTCATTTAATAATAAATGTCAATTTATGATATTTCAATAACATTTCCAGAAAAATGTAAACAACACAAAATATGAGACATGTTGATTGAAATCCTTTACATATGACAAATGACTGTATTATTCACATAGACATTAGGGCTGCTTGCCTGATAAATTTTAAAAAGCGATCCAGCAGATATAAAACTCCACAAGACGTACAAAATCTCTAGACCCTATAGTTTAAAAATGATTTGTTGGTCTCTGTTAATTCTTCCTTTAAAGTGCATTTCACATTTGTCATGTGTGAAAACTAATGTCCTGTGATGAGAATCTTATTTTCAATGTAGGGAACAGCAGACTTCAGTAGGGCACCCATCTAAGTGGTTGCAGTCAATCTCCAGCTCATGGAATTATCAAAGAAAATGTAGATTTAAACAAAATAGAGGAAACATGCTCATGGTGAGACAAAACACCACCTCAGGAATGTAAGAGGTGGGAAAGGTAGAAAATGATTTAAAAGTGTTTGATTTCAGGAAACTAAAAAATAAACACTAATTTATAATTATAGCTCACAAATAGTATTTAAAATACTCTTCATTTAGGAATCCATTTATAAAAATGATTTAAAATTATAATTTAAAATGGAACCAGAGCTTAATTTTTTGTAGCATCATTTCTGTATATATTAAAGAGAATGACATTTTGTGGTCCCAGTGCAGGTATGAGTTTTGGTGCTAGGATGGTCTGCTTGTGTGACTCTGTCAGTAAGTACTTGTTCTGTTTTTTTCAAGGACAGTCTCTGGGAGATCAGCAGATCAGTCCTAGGTGCCAAGAGAGCCTGCTACCCACCCTTGAAGACTGTAAGCAAACTTCATCCCACCCAACAATCAAGTTCAAGAACAAGAGACTTTTGAGGTAAGGTGATTGCTGTTTTGCTTTTGTGAGTCATCAGACACTGCTCTCACTTTAAAACAATACTCTCACTTTAAAATTGAGAGGAGCTGAGAAATACTGAAATTATTTGCTCAAATATTTTACTTCAGGAAAAAAAGAATTCTTTAATCAGCATAGTGAGAAATACTGAAAATATTCACTCAAATCTTTTACCTTAATTCAAAAAAAAAGAATTAATTCTTTAATCAACATGGAAAAATAGAAGTCACTTTTGTGGGGAGGGTAAAAAGAATGACCAGCACAGCTCAGCTCTGTCAAGTACTCATGCTGGCTCATATACTTATTGGTCTAAAGTTTGTAGGTACGAAGAAATAAGGACCAAACTATGAAACAAAGCTTCTGCTCCTTAGTGGCTAGTTCCAATTACATGAAGCTACGTCCTTAAAATAAAAAACTCTGGCAAGCAAGATGGCTGGGTGGGTAAAGGCACTTGCTGCGAAGCCTGAAGACCTGAGTTCCATCCCTGGGACCCACGAACATAGTGGAAGGAAGGACTCCCACAAGTTGTGCTCTGACTTCCACACACACACCATGGCACATGTACCCCACCAAATAAATGTAAAAAAAAAGTTTTTAAAAAAAATAAAAAGTGTGTTTCAGCAAAAATTTATACTGGGTAGGTTGGTTAACAAATATGTGGGGATTTTGTTGACTTTTCTGAAAATTTGAAATTATAATTCAAAGGACATGACAAACCCCAGGCCTTTATTATTACTGATATTATTTTTGACCATTAAAAGTAGTGTTCTAAAAGGCGACTGCTCACAAGGCAGGCCTTTATGAATAGAACAGTCTCACCCCAGAGGCTCACCTGGTTTGATTCTCAGATTCCAGTGTCTACAAGGTGGACAGCTTTCTGTTTTCTTCCTTGGAAAGATCTAACTATTTATCATTTACAAAATAATGCTATAAATGCATGTTTAATAGTTGTTATTTAGGGATATATATATATATATATATGACTAAATTTTATTCCTCATAAAAATGAGCTAACATTCCTTCGACTGAACATTTGTAAGAAGGATTCATTACCGCAGAAATGGAAATCTAACTTTTATGAAATGGACCATTGTGTTTTGATGAAAGGAAACAAGATCCCTCTGTGGAGAATTTCCAGGGCATCTCTATTTTTTGGTTAAACACTCTGCCATACATTTTATCAGGTCCAGACCACAGGTCCATTATAATTGTTTGGAAGCAGAGTCTTCTTTGAATTGCTTTGGAGTTAAAAGTAGAACAATTCAGGTAAATGCTTGTTTCACAATTATGTAATTCAGCAGTGCACGGTTCACACATTCTTTAAGAGAAATGAATATGTGTATTTTAATGTACAGAAACATGCTCCAATTAAATGAATGAACAGCCACAGCCCTGCAAGCTTGCCTTCCTGCAGCAAGTCCACCGAGAAGCAACAGCTATAAAGTGATCTTCTCCAATATCATAGTGCAGATGCACTAACAAGTATTTAGATTGAATGTGAACAAAAATTCAGGGATCAGCCAGGTGCTCCCCTGAAACATGTAGAATACTGTGAGACTTAGCTGTCACTGACTGAGAAACAGTAATTCATGATTCCATACGAATTCTCCCAAAGCTGTTCGATAGTTAATTGAATAATAATAAAAGCCCCAACAGTTCTATGCAGACTCAACATGACTTGCTCGCGTTTTGGCAGGTATGGTTCATGTTAGCAGAAGGTCTCATGAAGTAGTTCACAGTGCAGGGGGAATGTCCTTACAGCCGTCCGCGAAAGGCCTTAGGAAGCTACAGTCTTACTACAACCTTGCAGCCTCACTCTGTCACCCAGAGGAGTGAGCTGCTACCGGATGAACTTAGGCACATAGTACCAGGATGCGAATCTTTTGAAATGACTTGTTAAAATATATTCTTAGTGGTAAGAGGTGATCTTTCTTTTAGGATTTATATTTTAAATATTCAAAGTCCACTGGAGATGAGACCAGAGAAACAAGTGATTAGGTCACACATTTTGGGGGAGTCACAAGTGAAGAATGGTTCAAAGAGATCAAGTTAGATTTCTAATTTTGTTTGAGCATGTCTGAGGATTTCTGGGGGATGCTATAAAGGAAGACCCTCACCTGCTGTCCAAGCCTGGTGAGAACCGGACCATCATGTTTCCTCCACTGGCTTTCCCAGTTTCCATGACAACAGCCTCCATGTCCTGAATATCCATCATTGGGGTGAGGTTTGAGGCCACCTCTCGTCTTCCCTGTGACCAAATTCTGCCACTTTTCAGGGGGACACTCAGACTGACTTTTCTCCTTGTATTGAGATAGTCCTGATGTCCACTGCCCTGCATCTGATGATCTCCTGCCACTGAATGACTCTTGTCCTCCACTAAAGAGTCCACTGTCTCTTCCTCAGACCCATCAGGCTGGCGCTTTCATCCGACTGACCAGGTGTACAAAAGGTGCCCCAGAACACACATACCAACTTTTCCCCACATAATATGTGTTGGCAGGCAGGGGGCTCCACCTGCCACTGCCTTCCCTTCCCTGGGGGCTCTGGCCAGTGCGGCTACAGTCTGCTGTCTTATACTTGCTTGGCACCCAGTGCTGAGTCCTCTGGCCTCATCAAATGATACAGACCTGTTACCATTCCATATATATGTGTAGGAGATGCCCAATATCTGCAGTCTCACTTTCTGTGGTCTCAGTGACCCACAGTTAACTGTGGTCCGAGGGTATTAAATGGAAAATTCCAGAGATAAAAACAGTAAGTTTTAAATTACACACATTTAGGGTAATGTGGTAAGTTCTTGTGCTGTTCTGCCCTGGACATGGCTTAGCCCTCTTCCCAGAGTATCCAGGCTGTATATACTACCGGTACCTCCATCAGCCACTGAGTTGCCTCAGGTAAGAGCAGTGGTTCCACACTAAGCCACGCCCAAACCACCTCAACAAACGTGCATCCACCTCACACAATGTACACACGTATCACCCCACATAGCTCACATGCATGTTCATGCAGCTCATACATGTTCATATTATCCCCATCCTCACATGCTACAAATGTGCACATAATTTATACACATTGTCATACTAACCCTCCACCACCACACATGAATGATCATGTGACTCACATACTGCTCACATAGCACACACATGCTCAAATTAACACAGAGCTCACACACATGCATAAATATCTTAAGTGCATGTATATACTAACCCAAGTGCATACTACCTCACATGCATGGTCACACTGCTCACGCACATACACACTGCTCACACACATACATGCTCAGCCCATGTATATACTCATATTAGCCCACATGCAGACCATCTCACACACATGTTCACACAGCTGACACATGTGCACAGTAACATGTACACCACTTCACACGCATGCTCAGACAGCTCACGCAGGCTTGCACAATGACACACACATGCACACTCTTCAGCCATCCTGTGCACCATTGTACTTTTGCATAAGTGGAGGTAAGTCGGTGGCAGCTGAAGTCCCCTCAGCTGCTTCTCCAGATTACATTTTGCTTCCCTCACCCAGAAACCAGGTGACCTGTGCCATGCTATTCCAGTTTTACAGATGAGGAAACCAGCCTGGTGGTCAGACACTGAAGTTTCAGCAAATGTACTCTCTCTGGCTCTCTGTCTCTGTCTGTCTCTGTCTCTGTCTCTCTCCTTGCTCCTGTGATCTCTGCTTTAGCCTCAGTCTTCAGCCAGCAATGGGTGAGCAGTGAGAAGCTCCAACATGGGCCGTGGGCTCCCTGGTCTCTGCCAGATCATGCAGCGCTCTGCCCATGCCACAGTAGCAGGTGTTATTTGAAAGGCAGCTCGATAGTCACAGCTGTCTGTGAAGAAGACAGCTACCGTGTTCTGGGTCTCCTGTGTGATGTGCCCATGGAAAGCTAGGAATGAGGCTCCTCTGGTGTTCAGGTGTTGACCGGAAGCATTAGCCGTGTGACTTGCCTCTCCGCAGGCTCACGCAGCTGTCCCCATTTCCTGTGCTTAGGTCTGGGCCATGCAGTACAGACTCTGTGCTGTGCGGTGACCTGGGTTTTATGTGTGAAAGTTCTAGCTCCAGCTGACAGGGCCACATACTTACAGAGGATGATGGCTTTGCTGGGAGAGCCCACTCTGTCCTGTGCCTCTTGAAGAACAGCACAGAGACCACATACATGGTGCACGTGTGCCCACAGCACCTGGTCTTCATATCCTCTGTTGTCTGTTTTGTGGTCTGGTGGGTGATTGGCTGGTCTAGTGTTGGTGAGAGCTGGGGGACACATCCCTCCTTGTTTGCGGTCAGGTGTTAGATAATGAAGCTTGATAATTTGAAATGTAGATTATCACTCTGCCTTCTGTTTCAACTAGTTATTGATTCTTAGGGATCTGATCTATGGTTTTGGGATTGATTTTTGTTAAATGAATACAATCATAGATGCAACCAGAAACTCACAGGTGCATCACGCAGCACCCACACTGTGTGGTTCCCTATTGTGCCTGACTCCTGCTGGGTGGACAACGGTGGCTCTGCAGAGGCTGACTAGCCTCTCTATTTCTTGGTCCAGGAGACCAGGAGGGTGGAATGTTCAGGAACCTTGGGGTGACCCTCAGGCCTCAGATCACTAGCTAACATGGCTGTTTCTGAGTTGCTGCCCTTTTGAGACAGGCTGATCTTAGGAGAAGGCTGGAGAGAGAATGTGTAGGAGACCATGTTTCTTCTTTATTTTTTTTTGAGACAGGGTTTTGCTAGGTAGCTCAGGCTAGCCCTCAGTTTCCCCACAGTCATGCACTACTATACCCTGCTCATAAACCATAAGTTAAAATGGTTCATAACTACATTACAGAAAGTTTAGAAAATGGATACATCAGGAAATTATTTTGGTTAATTTCACACAAACCATAGTCACCCAGGAAGAGGGCACCTTAACTGAAGCATTTCCTAGATCAAACTGACCTGTGGCCATGTCCACAGAGCAGTTTCTT